CACAACAGTCGAGATATGGAAGTAAAATCCCTTTAATTTTCTCCATAGAGGAACTGATTTTTAATGATGAACCATAAAGAAACAGAAAGGTGAAAGAAGTTAACTGTAGTTGGGAAGTAATCATTCTGAACTATTTGCAAATAATATTTTAAAATATGCACACATGCATTTTATGCACATGTCGAAAATGCCAATCTTGTAACATTCAGTTAGGAATTACATGAATCACGTAAACGATACCATCTCAGTCATTTTAACAATTTAGACTTTTGTGTTCATCTGCTTCTCCCATTTGCTCTTTTCGCATGGACTATCACTCTACAATCAGATACAACAATAATTTCTCAAATATTTATTACAATATATACTGATAAACTGAACATTCACTGGAGGCTTTTAGCTGATTTCCTCTTGAACTGTCAGCAACTGAACTGCAGTGTCAAACTATTTCAAATATAGTCAATTAAGCTCCAAACTCGATCATAAAGCACAATGTTTCCATCTGACATGTATTTTGAGCTGCAGCTCGTCATATTAATGGAGTGATTCTCTAGTTAGCAGTAATATGTTCTAGATTTGTGTTGGATGTTTTCTTTGGGATGTAAATATGGATATTTTATTTGTAAACATCAAACTTTTTCTCTTATTTCAGTTAATGTCATAAAACTCGCGAGTTAAGTCAGTAGTAGTGCTGACAGTGTCGTGTAAACATGACTGAAGACGAGAAAAGAGGAGCAGACTAACCGATTCAGTTGAGTGAGTCATTTATGCTGGAACCGCTCCGATTGATTCAAACTCCTGACTTCGATCATTCCGTTCAAGCGATTCTTTTGGTCAACAATAGGAGAAGATCTCCTAGAAGTGTTGAGTATCAGTCTGGCAAGGGGTATACTGCCTCAAAGAGCAGTGTTGACCCTTCTACCGAAAAAAGGAGGTCTTGGAGACATAAAGTGTTGGCGTCCAGTTTCTTTGCTCTGCAGTGACTACAAGCTTTTATCAAAGGTTTTAGCTAACAGACTGGCTAATGTAATGGACAGTGTTATCCATCCTGATCAAACCTGTGTCCCAGGTAGATCCATATTTGACAACATTGCTTTTATTTGTGATCAAGTCTCCGAGATGCTAAACCTAAATTATATTATTTATTTTATTTTGTTAGATCAAGAAAAAGCTTTTGATCATGTAGAGCTTTTTTTTTTTTATGGAAGGTTTTAACTGCATTTGGCTTTACTGAGAAATTTATAAATTTTTTATTTATTTATAGTGATGTGGAGAGTATTTTAAAGGTCAACGGTGGTTTATGTGCTCCTTTTAAAGTTTTTAGAGGTATAAGACAGGGTTGTGCATTATCTGGTATGTTATACTCTTTAGCAACTGAGCCTTTGTTACATCAGATAAGGTGCAAACTTCAAGGTGTATGTAATGTTACCAGAATGCAGGAATAAATTCATACTGTGTGCCTATGCAGATGATGTGACAGTATGTGTCAATGGACAAAGTGATATTCAGGCTTTGTTGTAAAAATCTCTTCCAGCATAAACTGGAATAAAAGTGAAGCTTTTTTAATAGGGGATTGGAAAAATGATAAACCAAAACTTCCTATTGTTTTGGAGTGGGGAAAATAGGTTTTAAAGGGGTCATAGGATGCTACATGCACTTTTACAAGTTGTTTGAACTGAAATGTGTTGGCAGTGTGTGTACACAACCATCCTGGAAGCATCGATAAGTGTCCTTTTTGTGATGATAGAGAGACAGTTTTTCATGCTTTTTTTAAACGGTCATAGACATGAACCACTGTTTTCTGTTTTAAAAGAAGTTTTTAAAAATTGCAATGAAGTATTTTCACAAGAGATTTTCATTTTAGGACGCAAATATGTTTTAAAGAAAAAGTCTGTATGTCAACTGCTTAATTTTGTGGTGAGACAAGCAAAAATGGCCATCAATTTGAGCAGGAGAAAGAAAATTGAACAGGATATAGTACAAACCACTGTCGCAGTGTTTTTTAGCCTGGTGCAATCTAGAATTTTGATTGATTTTTATTACTATAAATGTATTGATGATCTACCTCTTTTTGAAAATATTTGGTGCTGTAATGATGCTCTATGTGCTATTTTTGAAGACAAATTAATTTTCACAATTTATTGATATGTTTTGAGCTGTTACTTTATTTTTTAAGGCTATGTAATTGTAAATAGGTGAAAAGCTTTTGTAAATTAAAAAAAAAAATCTCATTCATTCATCAGTCATTTTCTCATAACCTCAGTCTGTGTGTGTGTGTGTGTGTGTGTGTGTGTGTGTGTGTGTGTGTGCGCTTTTTTGTGACAAATGAGGACATAAAATTACAACGAGAAGGTGATTTTTGAGGACATTTTGAGTGTCCCCATATTTCAAAAGGCTTATAAATCATTCAGAATTAGTTTTTTTGAAAATCTAAAAATGCAGAAAGTTTCCTGTAAGGGGTAGGTTTAAATGTAGGGTTGGTGTAGGGCAATAGAATATACGGTATGTAAAGTATAAAAACCATTACGCCTATGGAATGTCCCCATAATTCACAAAAACAAACCTGTGTGTGTGTGTGTGTCTGTGTCTGTGTGTGTGTGTGTGTGTGTGTGTGTCTGTGTCTGTGTGTCTGTGTCTGTGTGTGTATGTCTTTGACAACGATGCTACGACTCTCATTAACTTGATGCCGGAGGTTAACTGGAGTCACACTGCAGCTTTTGTCTAATCGGAAAGCCACTTCATCTCAATTCTTCATATCAGTGTGGGTTTGGATCCGGTCCAGAAATAAAAACGCAGGCTGCTGAAAAATGGTCCGTGTCGGAGCACCTGCAGAACGACGATTCCTAGAACAACCGTATTAACAATAACTGCTATAAACATTTAAAATGTAAAAACATTGCATCAGTGTATAATTCATCATAACATTATGAAGTAGCAGTTATAAAGTTAATCATTATGATTAATAGCGCAATAATCCTTTCTTGTAAATATAATACACAATGCATCACAAAAACATTATTACCTGCATGAGGGAGTTTTGTGGCGTCACAAGGTTTCCAAATAACTGTATCTTAGATGAGTGCATCTCACTAAAACTGATATTTACATATTCACATGTGCAAATGTAATATATGTATATAAACTAAATTTCCATATATGAAGTATATTGTCATATGAAGCCTCTTAGAAATTCTGTCAGTACATATATATACAAATAAACATATCTTCAATATATTTTTATATATATGCAAATATATATTGTATTATATATATTGTGTTTGTATATATATGTGTGTGTGTGTGTGTGTGTGTATGTATATATATATACCTGTATATATATATACACACAAATAAACAAATCTTCATCTATATAGGGCAATATACTGTATGTCATATTACATTTCCATATGGTTTATGCAATTGAGAGAAAATAGTTTCAACACCTTTTTTTTTCTTTTTTTTTTTTGGGTGTAATATTCTCATAGTATCATAGTGTTTCTACATAACAGCATATATGGTTAAAACAACAGCCTAAAACTTTCCATATGAGGCATTTTTAGATGCAGAACGTTATCTTGAACTTATTGTATGTCATCTTTGTGAAAAACCTATTTATACCCAAGCAGCAAGCAGCTCTTGAAACTGACCTGTTTGAAACCACTCGAGCTGTGGTGCATCTTCTGTGTGCGGACTATAAATGAGACAAAGACACAGGTTACATGAGCAGCTCTAAATGACATCTCATCTGGTTTGGACACCACTGAAGCTTACTCAAGCTGAGTGTTTGAGTGTGATAATTCATGAATAAGTGAGAAACATTTAAGGAAACAGGAACTTGTTTGTTCTGGTCAGCAATATCATTTGAAACCTGGGGGGAAACACATATCATAATTTCAGAATGATATTACTATTTTTAGGTTATTGTTATTGCATAAAGCACATAATGCAATGCCAAATATCTTCTCATGATCGCATGCCATGGTTTGTTAGGTGGTTTTGCAAAAACTATTTTAAAATGAAGTGACAAACGTTATTAAAAGCATCAGTGCAGAGAACCACATGCGAGCTCAATGTACATGTTTCATTGCTTCCTGTTGAGAGAAAAACTCTTAATACACGGCCGTCTAAAAGTGAGCATGGATATATTTGTGATTATACTCACAATTGATCATTGTTCTCCATTACGTACTACGTCTAATGCATGTGAACAAGCTAAGTTCATTTTGAAAGTCAGTGTATGTATAGATGCACACCTTATTGTCTATTGAACTTTATTGAACAAAAGCTTTTGAACATTTGAATGAAGCCAGTTCTTTTTTTAGTCCATTTATTTTCACAATGAACACTGGTGTAAAGCAGCTTTACAAAAAAAAAAAGTGTCCTTATTTCACTTTAAAAAAAAATTTTTTTTTAATTATATGTTAAATAAATAAATACAATATTTATTTATGTATTGTTATTAATGCATTATTTATTATTAGAGAAAAAAAAATGGAGCATCCACATAGTGTTTGTTAAATGACCTGTATTTTTGGGCACAATATACAGTAAAACAACAGTGAAGCACAACAGAATTCAAAGCACCAATGAGAACCACACTATTGATTAAAAACCTCACCGCTACTGAGATAAAGCTCATGTAACAGCTTGTTCCGCTCTAAAATTTGTTCTCGGGTTTATCTTTCATTTCCCTTTCTGTCTCTGAAACCTGCGTTTTCCCACACAGAGAGGACATCGCTTTAAAAAGCAGTTCGTTCACACTTTATGTGCAATTAATAGCGGCCTCAAACTCACACGTCAGTCAAAATAGGCTGTTGTGGCTTTGCATTACCTAGACAAATGAATTCCCTGCCACAGTTTCTGACAGAGAAGTGTGAGAAGATAGTCGTGTAGGGTCAGTGACCGTCAAGAGGAACTTCCCATGTTGCATGAACTTGCCTCATACCAGCAATAAAGAGCAGTAAAGTCTCTGCTAAATGTTAGTTATAATCAGAGCCGGTTGAGAGGAGTTAGTCTAGAAAACCCACCAGGATGAGTTTACCAACTAGAGAGCAATGTGAGGGCTGGAGTCCAGCGCAGGTCGCCGCTTTTCTCAGTCAGGTAAGCGTTCAGACATTCAGTTTAACTGTAAACCACTTTTTGCAAAAGATATTAGCAAGACTATTCGCCTTTTTCAACATTATTTTGTTATTTTATTGGTCTGCTGCACATGATGCTTATTCATGACGATGCAAAATCACTCAAACGTAATGGTGTTTGTTCACAGCACAACATGAAAGAATGTGCAGAAGCTGTACAGAGAAACAGGATTGACGGCTGTCGGTTTCTGGTAGGTTCCTTTCTTGCTCAATATTGATGTTTTCTCTTTGCACATGGCATATTTAGTTAAATCAAATCTGTTTTCTTTAACTATATCATGATCAGTCGTTTCCACTAATTAAGTCCACTATTCACAGATTTTAGATCAAATCAGTGATCAATGTAAAAAACAAAAAAAACAGCAGTTTCACTCTTTCACATGGGGAAATGAGCAAAAAACCCAGCTTCCTTAACTGTGTAATGACAGCTGCTGCGGTTTCTGTAGTGGATTTGCATTGATGAGTCTTAAACATGATCTGAGAAAGTCTTTTCATGATCTACCTCGGATAGTTTACGCTGTTGGAACCACATTTCAACAGCCATCTGAATCAGCGAAGCCGGTTCGGGCGAGATCAGGAGTGTTTGGGAAACCTGTTTGGAAACAGTCATTATATGTGCACTTCCGTTTGGTGATAGAGAAATTACACACTTCACGACATGTGTAATTAATCATTTGACATTTCCAAATGAAATGGGATATTCAATGAGGAAATAAATGAATGGTGGGACCTAAGTTATCAGTCCAAACACAACTTTACTGCCTGTGCGCCATAAAAACTCATGAATCATGAATCATGAATATCAAACTCGATTCAGCTCGAATCTATGAAAATCAATTACAACATGTGTGGATATCAATGTTTTATTGCATTGAGACAGTATGTGTGAAGTTTTGTGATAACGGCTGGCAGAATGAATGAATGAATGAATGAATGAACGGACGGACGGACGGACGAACGGACGGACGAACGAATGAAAGAATGAATGAATGAATGATGAATGAATGAATGAATGAACGGACGGACGGATGGACGAACGGACGGACGGACGGACGGACGAACGAACGAACGAACGAACGAATGAACGAACGAATGAATGAAAGAATGAATGAATGATGAATGAATGAATGAATGAAAGGATGGACGGACGGACGAACGAACGATGAATGATGAATGAATGAATGATGAATGAATGATGAATGAATGAATGAAAGAAAGAATGAATGAATGAATGATGAATGAACAAATGAATGAATGAATGAATGAAAGAATGAATGAATGAATGAATGAATGAATGAATGAATGAATGAATGAAAGGATGAATGAATGAATGAATGAATGAATGAATGAATGAAAGGACGGATGGACGGACGGACGAACGAACGATGAATGATGAATGAATGAATGAATGAATGAATGATGAATGAATGATGAATGAATGAATGAATGAAAGAATGAATGAATGATGAATGAATGATGAATGAATAAATGAATGAATGAATGAATGAATGAATGAATGAATGAAAGAATGAATGAATGAATGATGAATGAACGAATGAATGATGAATGAATGAATGAATGAATGAAAGGACGGACGGACGGACGGACAGACGAACGAACGATGAATGATGAATGAATGAATGAATGAATGAATGAATGAATGATGAATGAATGATGAATGAATGAATGAATGAATGAATGAATGAGTGAAAGGACGGACGGACGGACGGACGGACGGACGGATGGACGAACGAACGATGAATGAATGAATAAATGAATGAATGATGAATGAATAAATGAATGAATGATGAATGAATGATGAATGAATGATGAATCAATGAATGAAAGAATGAATGAATGAATGAATGATGAATGAATGATGAATGAATAAATGAATAAATGAATAAATGAATGAATGATGAATGATGAATGAATGATGAATGAATGAATGAATGAAAGAATGAATGAATGATGAATGAATGATGAATAAATGAATGAATGATGAATGAATGAATGAATGAATGATGAATGATGAATGAATGAATGAATGAATGAATGAATGAAAGAAAGAATGAATGAATGAATGAATGAAAGGACGGACGGACGGACGGACGGATGGATGGACGAACGAACGAACGATGAATGAATGAATGAATAAATGAATGAATGATGAATGAATAAATGAATGAATGATGAATGAATGAATGAGAGAATGAATGAATGATGAATGAATGATGAATGAATAAATGAATGATGAATGAATGAATGAATGAATGAATGAATGAATGAAAGAATGAATGAATGATGAATAAATGAATGAATGAATGATGAATGAATGAATGAATGAAAGAATGAATGAATGAATGAATGATGAATGAATAAATGAATGAATGATGAATGAATGAATGAATGAATGAATGAATAAATGAATGAATGATGAATGAATGAATGAAAGGACGGACGGACGGACGGACGGACGAACGAACGATGAATGAATGAATAAATGAATGAATGATGAATGAATAAATGAATGAATGATGAATGAATGATGAATGAATGATGAATGAATGATGAATGAATGAATGAATGAAAAATAAACTTAAAAAAGTCAGATATTTTTTTATAATCTCATTAAAAGTATGTTGAAAATTCAATACTTTGTTTTTGTTTTGTTGACTAAAAAATAAAATTAAATAAATTTAAAATTTGAATAAAAAAAATAAAATAGAAATAGAAAAATAATAGAAAAACAATTCTTATCTGTTTTTTGATGCTTCTTAATTATCTCATTAAAAGTATGTTGAAAATGAAATACATTATTTCTCATTTTTGTTTTGCTCATTTAAAATATAAACTTAAATGAAATAAAATGATAACAAAAAATACAAAAAAATTTAAGAAAATTTGAAAAAATTAAAAGAAAAAAATTACTAAAAGAAAAACCGTTTTTAAAGCTTTTAAGCATCTCATTAAAAGTATGTTGAAAATGAAATACATTGTTCCTCATTTTTGTTTTGTTGACTCAGCGAGTAGACAAGGCATTACGACAAAAAAGAAAACTTCTGAAAACTTTCAGATTAAAAAAATAAACCTACTTCCTAAATAGTGACTGACCAACCGGCCAGTAGTTTCATTTACTCGCAAAAAAAGCCTTTTTTTTCCATTTGCAGCCTAAATGCCGCTTGGCAAGTTTTAATATGCTACTCTATTTGTACGACATCCATCGGTGTTGTGCTCAAAGTTCAGTGAAGTCAAAGAGAGCGTGCCGTATGTTTCAGATGTGTTTTTCTCTATTACTCCTCTACATCACTCCCACTGTCCTCCTGAATGGGTGTTAAGGGCATATATTAGACATCTTTGCATATTCATATTGTGTTTATGCATTAACCATCTGGTGAAAGAGTCTGTAGATCACAGGAAGGTTTCCTCTGACACACAGTGAGTGTGTGCTGAGAGCGAGATGAGCCGTTTGTGAACACAACATGATCACTCCAGTGTTGGGGGATGGTTAAAATAACCAACGATTACTGTAAAATATGTTGTTGTCATAAAGTAAATATGTTTTTTTCCATTACATTATAACTCAAAATGATTAACTTCATTTTTTAAGTGAACTAGATTCAACTAGACAACATAAAAAAAATTTGTTGAAATTACTTGTACAGCTAGTTTGATTATATGGAGAAAAAAATTAAGGCAGCAACTGAACATAACATTGTTGTTTATTAAAATAAAGCTGAAATAAAATATAAGATGAAAAACTTAAATGATTTAGATGATAAAATTACTAACTAAATAAATAAAATAATATTAATAAATAAAAACTAAAACTGAAAGAAAAATAAATTAAACTTAAATAATAATAAAAAAAAATTACTTTTAATTTAGTAAAAAATTACCAAAATTCTAATTAAAATTTCAAACTGAAAATATAAAAATTCTAAATATTAATAAAAACTATAATAGTAAGTCTAAGTTTTGTTTATTGAAATAAAAAATAAATATAAGATGAAAAACCTCAACTAAATGAAAATTAATAACTGTTTTCTTGACAACTAATGGAAATAAGATTAGGTTGAAGAACTTACTAAAATTACTCACTGGAAATAAATAAAACCTAAAGCTAAAACTGAAATAAAAATAAATTAAACATAGATAAAATTAAAAAAAAAACACTAATAATTTAATACAAAAATCACTTAAAGTTATTTTAAAATTGAAAATATAAAAGCTAATTAAAAATATAAATAAAAACTATAATAATAAATTTTTTAATAAAAAAATGAAATAAAATAAAACGTAAATATACCTTAAGATGAAAAACCTTTCAAAGAAACCAAAGCAACATTTCTCATTTTCATATAGTTTAAGTTAAAACATTAAAATGACTAACTGCAAATAAACTGAATCAAAAACTAAAAGTTAAAAAAAAAAAGTTAAACCTAAATAGTAATATTTAAAAAAAAAAAAAATGTTTTAATTCAAATTACTAAAGTTAAATTAAGATGAAATCTGAAAACAAGAAAATTAAAAGCTAATTCAAAATATCAATAAAAAACTATAATAGTATACGTTTTTAAGTTGAATCGGGTGGGGAAAATTTGCAGTGTAACTTAACTACATTTTTCTTTTAAAGCAATTTTCAAGCGGCTTCACCAACGCCGGCCTGTTCTCAGATCAGTGTGAAAGATGAATCGTGTCAACACAAGAGTCCAGGAGCCCGTTTGCTTGTCTCTTCCTCTTTCAGCACAGAAGTAACTGCGACGTCTTGTGTGTGCGTTTCATTCAGACCGAGTGCTGGGTCGAACTCGCCCATCTCGTGGTTCTTGATATATAATTCCTCAGATGTCTTTGACGGCCTTCATTCAGTTTTGGACCGAGTTGTGAAAGCGAGGGGTGAGTGGATGTGGGACTCGAGCTGAGACTCTGCTGAGCTTTTTAATATGCAGCTGTGATTCCAGGCTGCTGCTGAAGTGTCTCTCTCTGACTCCTGGAGAAACTCCACATAAATAATTCACTTTAGCAAGCAGCATCCAAGGAGGCGCCCGGGCGAAATAGTCGATATTTTATTCTGTGTCAAAAGGCTAGGCTTGATTTTTAGGCAGGGCTAGGTGATTTTCTTGTCTTTGTCTCTTCAGAGAGTTGCAGGGATTCAGAGAGCTCAACCTCTTGCATTTGTCCCTATTAGAGCCGTTTCTCTTCAGATTCTTACGAAAGGCACCTAAATTCAGATGGTAGGGGTTTTGGATCTCAGTTCAATTCAGATGCGTAATGCAGCGAGTATTACTCTGAAAGCAGAAGGAACTCTGACAAACGTTTTCATTTATAGCTCAATATTTGAGTCTGAGGCTAACTAAAGCCCTAATCATGTGGCAGTGTCAACCAAAGTTCACATGCATTGCAATCAAAATATAAAAAAAATAAAATAAAAATACAAAAATATAATAATATAAATTTAAAAATATATAAAATAAGTCTCCAGCTTATTCACTGGGATACTCCGGCATCCACACAAAAAAATAAAAATAAAATACAATAAAAAATATGGTGTCATTGACTATTACCATAGTTAAAAATAGCAACATTCTAAAAAACAGCTTAGAACACCCTAGCAACCAGTGTTATTTTAGTATTATTGAGGTTCTATTATAGATTTGAATTGCATTTTATTTTTTTGTATCTTTTATTTTTACTTTAATTTTAGTTAAAGTTTTAGTAATTTTGTTGTGTGTTTTGGTCACCCCAACAACTGCATAGCAACGTTCTAAAAACACCTTTATAACACCCTGGCAACCACATAGCAACATTCTAAAAACACCCCAACAACTGCATAGCAACGTTCTAAAAACACCCTTATAACACCTTGGCAACCACATAGCAACATTCTAAAAACACCCCAACAACTGCATAGCAATGTTCTAAAAACACCTTAGAACACCCTAGCAACCACATAGCAACATTCTAAAAACACCCCAACAACTGCATAGCAACGTTCTAAAAACACCCTTATAACACCTTGGCAACCACATAGCAACATTCTAAAAACACCCCAACAACTGCATAGCAACGTTCTAAAAACACCCTTATAACACCTTGGCAACCACATAGCAACATTCTAAAAACACCCCAACAACTGCATAGCAACGTTCTAAAAACACCCTTATAACACCTTGGCAACCACATAGCAACATTCTAAAAACACCCCAACAACTGCATAGCAACGTTCTAAAAACACCCTTATAACACCTTGGCAACCACATAGCAACATTCTAAAAACACCCCACAACACCCTAGCAACCACAAAGTAACATTCTAAAAACACCCTAGCAACCACATAACAACATTCTAAAAACACCCCACAACACCCTAGCAACCACAAAGCAACATTCTAAAAACACCCCACAACACCCTAGCAACCACATAGCAACATTCTAAAAACACCCCACAACACCCTAGCAACCACAAAGCAACATTCTAAAAACACCCCCACAACACCCTAGCAACCACATAGCAACATTCTAAAAACACCCCACAACACCCTAGCAACCACAAAGCAACATTCTAAAAACCCCCCCACAACACCCTAGCAACCACATAGCAACATTCTAAAAACACCCCACAACACCCTAGCAACCACATAGTGACGTGCTAAAAGCAGTGCTGCAGTGACATGGTAGCACCCTGACAAACACCCAAAACACCTTTACACCAGGACAGCGACTTCTGCACGGCCAAACACTACTCTCATTTCCTTCAGGTGTAAAAATTTCATTCAAAATCAAGTTGCATCTTCAGGAATCTTCCTGAAGTACTATAAAGGGCCAAATGAAAGGAGGCCCAAGAGTTTCAACATAAAACATGAATAGGTAAAATACAGTAGCCTATATATTATTCAGGAAGCATTGGAGCAGAAACGTACAGTTATAATCATTTTCTGTGGGTCTCAGAGGATTCATTCAGGATTGTTTTTCTTCCTTCTGATGGTCTGCTGGTCATAACAGTCATCAAGGTCTGTCCGTTATCAAAACACTCAAATGAATGCACTTTCCCCAGCACACTTTGAGTGCATATAGCACAAGTAGATGAATTGGGACGCAGCCTCAGTTTTCCCGCTGGCTAAGGACTCCACCTAGTGTTGGAAATAAGTTTTCTGATTACATGAACTCATTTGACAGCTGCTTCATATGAACTCCTTCAGGCTGTATATTTGAATCAGTTTGTGCTCCGCAGGTGTACTGAATATATGAATCTGATCTAATATTTGAGCCAACACATATACTCAACGAGTCAGTTATTATGTGGACAAACACCATCAGCAAACTATTTTAACAGGGCTATTTATAAAAGCTAGTTCTTCATTCTAAATTAGTCAGTGTGGTTACTGAAGGTATAAGCATACTAGTGTTTAAAATATTTAACATAAATTCTATATTCCTAATAAAGCCAGTAAAGTTCATCCTAGGATCTGAAATAAAACATAAAAAGATCATATTTTTATTTGATTTCACCATTTGACTTGGCAACTTTTGTTACTTAGAAATTACATTTATGTGAAATAATATGTTATTCTACTATGATCCGGTGTATAAAATGTTGAGGTTTTACTGGCAAAGTATATTTAAGAGTGCAAATTCTCATCAGCTGTACTAATATTCATTATATACAGTATATATATATATATATATATATAGCTGATGAGAATGACACAAATGACATGAATTTCTAAGTCATTTTCTGAACCACTTTATCAAATTAATAAATAAATAAAAAAATATATATATATGCAGAAATAAATCAGGCATCCCAATTTAACAAGTATTCTTTTAATATAATTAACGCTATTACAGTATTTTAATACACCAAGTACATTCATCTCTTCATCACAGAAAAGTTTCTGTTAAAACAAGCTTCTGTTCAGCAAAGTTACTGAGAGTCTGTGTGTGTCTGTGTCCGAAACATTCAAACAGAACACGTCTGTCACTGAATATTAACCAATTCTCTTTGTAGAAATTCACCTTGAAGTTATACAGTACAGACGAGATATGGAAAACTGTACTCTATATGACTGACTGAACTGTTGTTTCTCTTGCAGATGCTCTCGGACGGTGACCTCAACAAATTCAGCCTCATTCATCGGCCGTAAGGAATCCATTTCTGTTTCTATTTCTAGTCTAAACTCTCCACATCGCCGCCTGTTTGTAGAAACTATCGAAGTGAATCTCCAGTATTTCTTCTCATGTGTTCCTCATTGATGGAGGTCAGTGACTGTCTGCTGCAATGAGGAAGCTGGACTAGTTTTACATCTATTCATGTTGTAAATTGTAGTTATTAACATAATCTGGATTACACATATTAGGTAAATGTCTAAAGTAGTCTGACTACTTTTTGATTACTTTTAGATTACTTTTAGATTACTTTTGACCTAACTCGTTTATATAAACATGGGAATATTACGTGGCCAAAGTCTTCCAGGTTTGAAATATTTTCATCCAGACTTCCAGAATGAATAATTAACGAAGTCCACGGGATATGAAGAAGACATAGTATTTCACGGCTATGCATCGGCAGTAATAACTTTTTAATAACTTGCAATTCTATGCAATTCTACATGGTCTAATTGATTGAGAGGTGCTTTTGTTCAGAAGCGTTGCAAATACTAATTAAGATGAAAAACGGAAGACTGTTCAAATGTATATAAGTATAGACGTTTAACGTTTAGAAAGGAAACGTTAAAAGAAAAGAAGAAAAAAAAGAATGATTTGGGGTTAATCAATAAGTTTTGAATAATTTACTGACATTGTGTGAATAATATGTAATCATCCATTAAAAAAAGTAACTGTAATCTGATTATAATCATTTTAAAATGTAATACAATCTCGTTACAAGTACTTACTTTTATGTAATCTAGATTACATGTAATCAGTTACTACCCACTGTTCACTTCTAAAACTATCATTTTAGCAGTACATTTTTTTTGGTCAGAATATATACAAATACATCAGTAAAGAACATTAAAGGGGTCATATGATGCGATTTCAAGTTTTCTTTTCTCTTTGGAGTGTTACAAGCTGATTGTGCATAGATAAGATCCCTGAAGTTGCAAAGACTAAAGTCTCAAATCCAAAGAGATATTCTTTATTGAGCGCACGCGCACGTGTGTGTGAGAGAGAGAGAGAGAGAGCGCGAGAGAGAGAGAGCGAAAGAGAGAGAGAGAGAGAGAGCGCGAGAGAGAGCGAAAGAGAGAGAGAGAGAGAGAGCGCGAGAGAGAGCGA